GATCTATGCTCAATTGATGGTGGTCGTCGCGGTGGAGTTCACGAAGCGTAGAGGCTGAAGCGGTGGAGCTGTGGTCGTCGTGGGGTCGCCGTTGAGACTAGTCGCCGGTTCGCCGGTGAGGGTAGGTTCGGTGGACGACCACGATTGACTGTAAGGCTGAGTGAAACTGAGAGAGTGAAGAGTGAGAGTGAATATGTCTCTGAGCTGTGTTGTTGTTTTGTTTGGGCGGGAACTCGAAAAAATTTAATTTTTTTTTTTTAATAATCTCAGCCGTTGGATTACCAACGACTGATCTGAGCCGTTGCCCGCAGGAACTCAAGGACCTTCCTCAAGGAGAGGATCCGGACTCGGGTACTCAGGCCATAGGTTCATTTTTTAATCTTTTGGGCCATTAGGCCCAAATTTTAATCTAATTGGGCCAAAATGACATAATTTGTTAAAAAAATACAACTATATGTTGAAATCAACCCATCTATTTATCTCTTGAAATCATTTATCACTGGAAATCACTCAATTTGTCTATCTGTTGAAATTCACTAAGCTTAATTTCCTATCTATTGAAATTCACCAAACAACCTATCTATTCAAATGTGACACATGTCACTCATTCAACACCTTATCTGTTGAATATCACACATTTCTCTACCTCAGCACCACCGTTGACTTTTTTGGCCAATTTGTTGGAGACTTTTCCGGTGCCTTTGAAATTTTTTGGGGACTTTCTCCAACATCGTCGACTTTTCCAATGTATCCTTATCACCAAATAAAATTTTTCCTTAGATCTACTACCTTATACACTCTCTAAGATGGACTTTTTATCAGTTTTCTCTATTTATTTAAAATCGTAATTGTTATGCTGCTAGGATTATCTATAATAAATTTTTTGTACAATAATCTTGTGGGGATGGTTTAAGGATGATTCAAACCCCAAAACATAATTAATTTAGTGGTTTATGAACTTACAAAGAATCTTAGTCTACAAAAACAACTTAGTAAAATTTGACTGATGTACATTAGATGCCTTAATTTTCTGTCTCAAATCTTTTTATTCTTAGGTTTCAAAACACTTCTTACCTAGAGATTTACACATAGTTCAATAATTATAAGAGTTTTTAAAACATAGAGACAGCCAAATTTAGAAACAAAAAATCATTGACTGTGTTTTAATTAGAATTTATGGGACAGAACTTGCCCCAACAAAAATAAAAATTCATGCACTAGCCTACTAGGGCATTGTGATTATGAAAGAAAAGAGATATATAAGAATGATAAATGTGATTATGAACCTGGCATAGTGAATCAAAGATACTTGAATTTGCCGACATAATGTAGGGTTCTTAAAGAGGTGAAAAGAGCTCTCCAGTTTTATGGGTTTATTGTGGTTATAAATTAAAGTCTAGTCTAAAGCAAACACATTGATGGTGAACCTTAAAAATGGCTACCATTAGACAATATACAGATCTTATTATTTCTTAGGGTAGCATGACAAGCTAAAGTGATGATTAAACAAGGATTCTAGTCATTTCAGAACTAAAAAATACTTCATGATTCTAGGGCTTTTTATTTATTTATAGTAACAATATGAAAATAGAATTTTGTAGCTTAATTTTTACATAGAATGAGATGATATATAGTGACATTTTCGTTTCAAATCAAAACATTTATTATTTTGATTTATATTTTAAAAATTGTTATCACCAGACCATTCTAGATAATTTTTAAAAACAAAAAAAAAAAGAAAGATAAATTACACCGATCACCCTTTAGATTTGGAGAAAATACAGTAAGTCCCACAGTTTTGACATAATTACATTAATCTTTCTTTTAGTAAGGTTAAATTGACTAAAATTAATGTAGATATTGCGAAAATATAAAAATGAACAAAGTAAATTATATATTTTATAATTTTTTATTCATATAACTAATAAATTATTGATGAAAAGGGAGTTAAGTATTATATAAATTAAAATTGTAAGGAAACTCAGTGTAATTATGTCAAAACTATGAAATTTACTGTATTTCTCTAAATCTCAACGGAGGTCAATGTAATTTACCCATTTTTTTATATAAAAATTATATTTATAAATATATATTTTTTATAATGTGCATATATAGATGACGACAATGTTTGATGTCATCCAAACCAGCTAGCACAACACAACCTGTCCCCTTAAGCCTCAGACTCTTCCAACAAACCAACCAACACTTTAAATTTTCAATTAATATAACTAAAATGCTGTCTCCCCAAGGGCCTCAATTTCAGGATCTATGGTTTGACTCTCTCTCTGCCTTGGCCTGTTTCTTCCTTTTTTTTCATCATTTCCATATATCTCTCCCTAAAGTCTAAAACTATAAAAGTCCATATGCTGTTGCAGTTTTCTAGGACAAGTAGTACTCAAATCTTTCTTTATTACATTACTGTTTGTTAAATTAAGTTTACTTGTTTTGCGAACTAGGGTTTTTGCCTCTTTGAAGAAACAACACATTTTTCATAAAGGCTTCTTTTACTTTAGCTCTTGTGTTGTTGGGTTTAGGTAATTTTAAGTTAATATATAAAATTCAAACCATTGTTTGTTCCTTCACCTATACTAGCTTATGGCAGCTCTTATATGTGGAGGGTCTCAGTTTATTATGTTAATGTTTAGATTTTGTCTTTCTTGCACCAAATCTCTCTCTCACACACCATTATGATTTCTATTAAGGCCTACACATTTTAATAATGTTTTTTTGACAATGTTGTAAAAAGAAGTCAATAATGAAGTGTATGAGCCACATCCATTCTTATAGTAGTCCATATATTTTATTTTTGCTACATTTCTGACTATTTTTTTCTTGACATTTTTTCTATTATAAGAGTTTTGACTAGGGTTTTGGCACATGACCTGCGCATCTTTTTACACAAGATCTCTCTTTCTCAGAGGCGGCCCTTGGCGATCACCTCAACCCCCGAATTTCAACAAAAGTTAGAGGACCTAGTTCATTTTAACTCTTACAGTATTAGTATATTTAAATACATGTCATAACTTATTTCACTAAAATAGTTTGTAACATTTATCACCACAAACGATTTATATTATTTACTCTATACCGTTTACAATATAATTACAATAGTTCTTAACTTTCACTTTAATGGTCGAAAAAAATTCAATATAACTATGATATCATGTCATCACTGTCCAATAATGAAGTCCTATGCAAACATGATAATCCTTATCTATTATGTATATGTGGCGGTTACATAATAATGTTAGAGCAGATAGTAACATTTCAATTGTAGGTTTCATCCTCCGATATGTAATACCAAAATTTTAGTATATAACACATTTCACCACGAAATTCTTACTCTTTTATGATAGGAGATGTACATTGTACATTTTTCTTTTAATTTTTTTTATAATTTTTTGTAATCATCTTTTCATCTTAATCTATGCAAGTAAATTTTAGTATATAATTTTAGTTATTACATATGTAAATAAAATTTGTATGGGTATTAGCAAATAAAAAAAATATTATAGGTACTTAATATTTTATCATTTTTTTTTTGTAATTACTTTCTTATTATTAGCAAATAAAATTAGTATGTAATTTTAGTTATTATTATGTATAAAAAGTCTCATTTTCACAAGTTTGCCTAAGGCCTCGTTTGGCAAGAGGCTATTTTAGTCAATTAGCCAAAAAGTTACTAAATTAGCCAAAAAGCCAACAACCCATACAAAAAAGTCAAAGATTCTCTTTTCTCACATCTTTTCGTAATTAGCCAAAAAGTCATCCCAAACATACAAGTTTTTTTTACCTACCTTTTTAGCCAAATAGCCAAAAAATTACTAAATTAGCCTGTTCCCAAACGAGGCCTAATTCTGAATAAGTCAAAACTGGCCTTCTTAAAAATTACAATAAGACCATGATCGGGACAAGGCAACATCAATTGTTATTCCCTATGCAATAAACCCGCAAGAAGAGTTGCACCCCCACCTTCTTGTAATTACTTTTGATCAATTACGCTAAATTGTAATTCTCCAAATACCAAAAGCAGAAAAAAAATAAATAAATAAATAAAGCAACACATTAACAGTGGCATATCTTCCATTTCATAAATCGTTAGAAATGTATCCTCGTGCATAAAATGAATAGAATGGTGATTTTTATTACATAATTTTTTTATTTAATACTTCATAATTAATTATTCTAAAAAACTAACATCATCCAATTTATATTTTAAATTTAAAATAGTTTTTTTTTTTATTTAGATTGGAAATTTTAAAATAGTTAAAGAATGTAATTGTTAATAACAGCCTCTTTTTTCATTGAATCCCTTCCATTTCAAATTTTTTGGTATTACAATTTTACCCGAACATACAATTATAATTTTATCCTCATCCCTTATCTATCAAACCCTAACCCTAATCCTCCCCACTTACTAGTCCAAGATCCAGCCACCAACAACCCTCAACTCCGGCACCACTGCCTAGACAACCCAACCCAGTTCTCACTCTTTACCGCTCCTCTCTCAACATCCCCAACCCCTTCGCTAGCTAAACCAACTCACATAAGTAAAGCCTTTTCCAGCTAGATCTAGCTCAAACAATGCCGAGCATAGATCAAAAGTTTGACACATATTCCAAGCAAATAATCATATTTCGATAGTCTAGTGCCGAACATTACTCAGATTGACAAACAAAGGTCCACGAGGTCAAAATTAATGAGCAAAATTCAAAATAACCATACTATAAAACAACCAACAATAAATTTATACCAAAAAGATGTGCTGAAGGGTGGGGAGATGGTGTCAAAGGAGGCAAAGGGTGGGAAAGGAGTAGAAAGCACTGGCGTTGGAGGTGGTGAGGCTGCCGGCTATGGGAGGCTACTGGCGATAAGGGGCTGCTGAAAGAAGAGTTGGTGGGGGTGGGGGGTCCAAAGAAGGATATATTGGGGATTATAGTATAGACGTACTCAATTGTAAAGAGAACAAAGAGCAAGGTAGACAAACTTACATACGGACATACAAAGGATGATTTTGTCCATCCGGTTTATATTCCCAAAAATGTATGAATTCAATGCATTTTATATGAGGAACAATACATCTATGCAAATTTCAATGACTGAAAAATCATGGGCCCAAAAAACCGTTTGTATGAACTATAACAGTGTTGAGTGATGATACTACATTAACATTATGAATCATACTGTGACAGTGAACAAGTAAAGCTTTAGTACAACCGCTAGAGCCAACTGCAACAGAAAGATCCCAGTCACAATCAAGAACCACCTTTCACCCGCTGACACGATGTGATTTCGAAGATTCAGTGCCACAAAAGATGCTGACATGAACCCCGCTATGCCAGCAACTATCCATCTGAATAGTTCTAAGGGAACAATAGATAGACACTGCAAACATAATTCAGAAGAATTGTCAGTGCAAACAAGTTCCTACCTCCAAATTCATAAAAAGTTGCAATAAATTGTGAGCACAATTGAAACGTTTCGACTTCTATATAAGAAATTTGACCATGGAGCACTGGATATTTTATTAGAGCCTCCAATCAAGACTTGGGATCCTAACATTTGTACATGTTACTACAGTGCATGGCAAATGTTCGGAGAACACCATGGACCTAGTCACTAAATTTTCAAGCCAAAAGTCATCACAAACAAGTGATCTGCAATCAATTTTAAAGATAAATTTATACATAAAATTGAATGCATATGCATAGTTAAATAGTGAACTCAACTGCTTAGAGACGTACTTGTTGAGTGCATCTCCAACGTGACATGGTGGACACATATATCTTTGCCCAATTGTTGAGCGTACAACACTGATACTTCACAAATTTAGATGAGTCCATGTAACATAAGGAAAATCAAATTCTCCTAGGTAGATATCCAATTCATTAGGATGCATTAGCAAGTCCAATTTCATACTAGCAAGCGACATACAGTAAGGGACTTTTTATGAAGGCTGAACTCCGAAGTACTCCAATTATGTGATATCCATTGAATAATATACAGTAAAACTAATACTGCCCACCATTGATTTCTACAAGCATAGAATTCATACAAGTTCTCCAAGAAGCAAAGAGCACCAAAAAAAAAAAAACCTTACCAAAGCGGGAATGAAGACAAACAGGGAGTACCCATAGAGGCAGAACAGCTGAACAAGGCCAGAAGGAGCAGAGAAGTATTTGAGGATTAGATACAAGCAAAGAGGAACAATAGTGACATAACCATAGAACAAACCAGCAGACCAAGTCACCAAATTTATGTCATAGTGCCAGTCTTCTTTTTTCTGTATCTTCTGTGCCACATAGGTAACAAATGTGCCGATTGCAGCTGCTACAAATATTAAGGTGGTGCAGATCCAGAATGGTCCATACCTAATCAGCAAACAATAGGAAGTCAAGCTAATGCGTCAGCAATTAAGATGGGAAGATGAAAATAATAAGATACAATAATGAATATGAACAATAGGCTTGATGAAATTAAAAACTCATATTTTCAATCAGAATGGTTATATGTGCCAAAATAACAATAACAAAAATAACAAAGCTTTAAAAAATGTAGGGAAGAACATTCATTTTTATTTGTGTTGAGATATAAAAAAAGCTTCTGTTTTTAAACCTCAAATGGGAGATTACCAGTCACTGAAATATGAGACAAGGTAAATTTTCATATCAAGGTTATAACAAATAATGGTGGGGGTAATCCTGCAGCCTTTTTGGCAATAGATTAAAATTAGAATTTGTAAAGTGTTATGAAGCTTTCATTTATGTGGTGAAGAAAATTTATTCCTCTTAGTACAAGATATCTGAAATTTTTATGTTTTTAAACCTCACTAGCTGGAATACAAGATCAGGTAAATTTTCATACAAAATCATAACAAAAAGGGTGGTGGTATTCCTGCAGCCGTTTTGGTACAACCAACTGCCTTAGAACAAACCCAGAAGCTCAATAGACAAATAAATCCTATCGGGCCAAATAAGTGACACAATTTCAGAGATACAAAATGACTTGGTACATTGAAGTGCAACCCAATAGACCAATTTGACTCTTCTGCTAGATGTGCAAAGAAGACACTGAATTGGCCCAAAGTTTGGGCTGCTAACACATACATTTTCCTTGGGATTCTGTTCTTTGTTCTCCAAACAGGCAACACCAACACCACAAAAGAGTCTTGGTACAAACTAAACCCATCCTCAAGTCTTCTACTTCCTCTCTTTCTCACAATCTCTTATATGTCATTGAGTTCTTTATTTGCATCAACCAAGGCCCCATAAAGACTTGAATTTAACTAGATGGTTATGGATACATGATGTTCTTTCTTAAAATTTTTAATGCATGTTTGAACACAAAGGTGAGATATGCATTCTTAAAGAATATGTTATCAAAGTCTTACGAATCACGATTCACAATTCATGTCTAGATCGATGCAGATCTATGAGTGAATCAACTTGTGAACAGAGTCGACAATGAATCACACAATTCATAATTTAATTATCATTCTTGCAATTCTTGACACTATCAAGTTCAACAAATTTCGACCAATTTTACCATCTTTTTTTGTGAAAATGTAAGAATACAACTTCTAAGAGTGTTTAGAAAAATTAGAATACAACTACAAATTTCAACCATTTTTATCTTCATCCCCAATGGTTCATCACGTGTAAGAGATGAGGAATCTTTGAATCACCTTTTCTTACATTATCCCATGGAGTTGTGTTTGTGGCATCATCTCTTTCTTTTGGTGGAGTTATTGTGGGTGGCTCTAGTGGAAAGTATTCACATGCTTTTAATTAATTTCGGGACTTTGGCGGCAAGAAAAGGGCAAGTTGTGGCTTTGTATGGTTTATGCAATATTTTGGGTCATTTGGTTGGAAAGAAATGCAAAAAATAATTAAGACAAATTTGGGGACTTGATTCTATGTGGGATAAAATTTGTAGTTTGGCATCTTTTTGGGCATCTGTGTCCCATCCGTTTAAAGGGGTTCTTCGTTTTTGATCTCTAGAGATTGGATGGCTATTTGCAACACAGTTTCTTGTCTTTGTTTAGTTTTGTTTGATGATGATTTTAGTTCTTCATGTTTGATTTTGAAGACTCATTGTCCTCTATTGTATTTTACTTTCTTTTCTTCAATAAAATTCATGTTGTTGCCGCTCATACAAAGAGTGTTTAGTACAAAATTAAGCAGTACCTATGCATAATTATTCATTTTACCACTAGCCTTTGTTCTTCCCCTACCAAAGGGATTTCTTTGTTCTTTTTATTTTTAGAGATTTATTTTTAGAGATTTGAAAGCGGTGTATGATATGTAATTATAGTTTTTTACCACTAACCTTTTCTTCTTTTGTTGGTAGGCTTCTTGTCCTTTTACTCTTTTGTACTTGTTCCTTTTCTCTAGTAATATGTCTTTTTGTTGATGATCAGGAAAAATTTTATTTATTATTTTGGTGATTAAAGGGTTTAATAGAATTCAACTAGATCAACTCAAACTCACCATGTTCTGAACTTTTTTTCTCATTTTTTTCCCTCAAAAGAACATCAAAATTAATCTCTCAAAAATATTTGAGGCTAAAATAACTTGCATTCATGAATTATTTATTGTTATTTTAGTAAAATAAACATAGTTTAATATGACATGGGTCAGGTCAGCCAGGCCTAACAGTTTCACAACTCTATTTCTTCTTTCTTTTTTCTTTTTCTTTTTTTATTTTTTATTTTTTATTTTTTTGGGAACAATAAGCATACACACCTTTTAAAATGATTTAGGTTTAAAATAAAGGGTTCTCACTTACTCTTCTACTCCTTTCTTCTTATTTTACTCTGTTTAGGGGGTTTCAAGGTCCATTTTTTAATGTCAAGAGAGAATATATTATGGTTTTTAAATAATTTTATAATTTGTGAGATTTGGACACACATCTCTTGCTATGAAGGCAATTCTTCCAAATCAGATAGTGTAATCATGTCTTTACAGTTTAAACAAGAACACTATCATATGACATGTGCCAAGATCAATTTTTTTATTTTTTCGTATATATGATTGCTTACTTCTTTTTTTTATAGCTTGTGCAGAATCTTATGATTTCTCAATTCGATTCAATTCACGATTTGCAAAATTAGGATTTTGATTCACAATACGGTTCTCGACTTGACAACTATGCTTATAAACCTAGTTTATCCGTGTTATGAATAAATACAATTACATAGGCATTTAATTTTTTTCAGTTTTGTGTCATTTTAAAATAAACAAAATATTCATTCTATGTATATGATATGCTTAACCAACAAATAAAATCTAAACCACAGAATCTTGCCCTCCCCAAACCACACAATCTTCCTTCCTAAATTTCTCAACAGCAAGACCTTCTACACCTACTTAAGTTTCCCGGGACTGTCTGCTGGTTCATTTTTAAGCTGCAATCTCTGCTTCATAAAACAGAATTCTCTCCAATGAAGCTAGCATTTAACTGCACAAGGGCTTATAAACTGAAATGCTTGTCCTGGTTGATAAATATTGGCATGCCACTCACTGGTATATCTGCCGTGTCACCCATATCATAGTGCAGGGCCACTGCTAGTAAGCTATACACATCTATGCTGTTTCATGGAAACTTAAAAAAGTATAGAAGATGATCGGATGAACACAATTTAAATTTCTTCAATAATTATGATGATAACATTAACAATTATGCATTTGCTGTAAAAATTCATTACCTCTAGTCAATCTATTTAAGAAATGAGAGCCAATGGTGTTGGTAGTAATGATGTTGGTAGTATACAATAGATTTTGAATTTCATACAATCTTACTGTTACTTCACTAATGATTGCTATTGTTACTAACGACCCATTGTCAATCATGGATTTAAATGACAACAGAAAAATTAAACACAATTGAGCTATTCAATTGTCAAGCAACATCCTAAGTCCAAATGCTTGCTAAATCACATTGCTAATACTATAGGTGATCAGTAGACAATTCTTGACCATGTTACTCAATCTCGAAGATAAATCATACAAGATTTCCATAAGCATCGATAACTTGAGTATAAAGTAAAATAATATGCTGTCAATATCCATATTAGCTACTTCTATCTACATGTATGATTTTCTGATAAAATTAAAATCATTCAAGTGTGGAAGCAAATTGTTGTTAATAATAGACCTAATTTATGCATCACTGCCACTAGAGGGCTAGGAATATGTCACTTTAATTTCCAACTAAAACTATCAAGGGAATAAATACGTCTTCTTAGCCATTATGGTAAACACTGACATTCCAATAATCATATTCACGATTAAAATCTTCAAAATGAAATAACTTTTACCTACCAAAAAACAGTACAGTGAATTGATCGTCCAGAAAATGTAAAAACTGCCAGAGCAAGACAACTTACAAATCTGGGTTGTTAGCAGTTTTCTCAGAAAAGCTTCCTCTAAATGGAATGATTGAATCCTTGATCCTCTCCAAGATGTCCGCTGTGTCAACTTCAAAGTACTGCCTGTAATAAGCAATTGTGAATGCTTGAAACCAACCACTTGACTGTGCTTCACCAGAACCAGCTACCGGTTTTGAGAAGGAATCTGCACCGATTTATGTATGAATGCAAAAGCATTATTCTATTGCTCTTATTTCAATTGAAAAGGACCAACAATGTGCAAAGACAAGAGAAAGACATTTCCAAAGCAAAATTTTGGGCGTACTCGTAAATTCTCCAAGGTTGTCAATCCTATTTTAACAAAACCATACACCTCAATATTGGAATTAACTAAATGCCCAAAAGAGAGAATTTCAACTTTCAAGACAAATAAACTTCTTTCAGCAAACAAGAATGTTCTTAAGGACCCCCTCATACATCTTTAACCCATTTAATCAAGTTAGCAGTTAATACCTATCGCACTCGTATTCCTAAAACCATAGAAAGCAAGTATTTCCTTAGACTACAATATCATTCTCCATAATTAAGCCATTCAAAACCACAAAATGATGCAAATGTGATCCCACAAAATTTTTTGACCGGCAACAAATGAAATTTTATTAAAACTAAAAGCAAGGAAAATAAAAAGATGTGAGAACAAGATGTCTTGTACCCAAAAAAAAAAAAAAAAAAAAAAAAAAAACTACAATTTGCACACCACTCTCCAATCACTATTAATTAAATACAAGGAAGATCAAAGCCCAAAAAGACACCATCAGTGTATCTTGTCCCATAACCCATCAAAATCTTCAAACTAGTCTTCAAATACCCTAGCATTTCTTTCAAACTAAACCACCCACATCAAAGCACAAAATGCACATCTCCAAAGGATTGGGATTTCATGTTCATGCCAAGACCCCTAAAATCAACAATGAGCATGAATAGAAGAAGGTCGAGCCACCCAATCCTCCCACACTTCATGAAATAGCCTCTCTATAATGCCAAGATGAGAGGACAATGCAAGAAAATATTATCAATGTTCTTTTCATCCTCCCGACACACAATACACCAGTGAAAAGATAATACACAATTGGGTCTTCTTTTTTATGTCATGTCATTGGTATTGATCTTCTTATAAGCCAAAGACTAGACAAAAAATTTGACTTTAAGAGGCATATACACATCCCAAGTTATCATATAAGGCTCAAAAAGTAGAACATTAGGATCAACAATTATTTTGTCAAAAAAAGATGTGCAAAAAAAAAGGCCAAAAGAATGAATGGTCCACACTCTCTTATCAATATAATCATGACTCAAGGAACACCCTCAGGCAAGGTTTCAAACAGCGGTGTTACGTAACGGTTGCAACGGCAGGCACTAACCATTACACTCGTTTTTGCGGTGTGACGAAAATTCACGTGTAACGGCCATTTCGGTATTACGTAACGGCCGTAACGGCCCGTTACACACCTTTACAATATTCTGAATAGCTTCCTTTCCAACAAAAAAAAACAAAAGCTTACAACAAAAAAACGAATACTCGAGTGATCCAAGCCCAAAGAAAAAACCTTATATGGATTTTTTTCTTTATAATTTATTTTTTATTTTTTATTTCATTACATTAGCATATAAAATGAAATATACATAAACCATGGTTATATTTATTTTTATAATCATTTCATTTAATATTTAATTGTAAATTTTTTTATTTTGTTAATATAATACGTTGTCTTAAACATGTCTTTAAAATAAATAAATAAAATAAATAGCTCAAAAATAATTTTTATTTATGGAACAATTTTTATTTTTCTAATCATTTCATATTCATTTAATACTTGATTATAAATAATTTTATTTAGTTAGTTGTCAAGTGTTGTCTAAAAAAATGTCTTTTAAAAAAAAAAATCAATAGCTCAAAAATAATTTTTGTTTATATTATCATTTTATTTAATAATTGTAAATTTTTTTTATTTAGTTAGTTCAGGTATTGGTCAAAATAATTTTGTAGGCATTTAAAATCAATTATTCTTAAAGTCATTAACTATTGAAATAAAATGTAAAAAGTTCCTTTTTATAGTGATTTAAAAATATGAATTATATTGGATCATACTTAAAAACTAAAAAAAAATTATCAAAATTTATTTTAAATCCCAAAAAATGTGATTCTAGGAAAAAAAAAAGATGCGCATCAATAAGTTTATTTCAAATTGTGCAAAAAATAAAATAAAAATTTACAGTTCCGGTTATCGCAACCGTTACGCTACGGCCTTTACACTCCGCAACCGCAACCGCAACCGCAACCGCAACCATTTTTCAAAACCTTGCCCTCAAGTCAAAGGAACAAAGAAGATAACTCATTAACATCCCAATCATTAAGATTTCTAAAAAATAAAAATTCCTACAAATAGGGCAGAGAAAGACAATACCATGGAAGCAAGCCTGAGATAAAAGATATAGATGAGGAAACAAAAGATCAAATTAACCATCCTCAGTGCTAGCATCTTCCTAAAAATGAAGATTCCTCTCGGTTCCAAGAACAAAATGAACACAACCAGAAAATAAATCCAACCCTTGAAAAATGCAATTTTTAAGGAAATGCAAGATTTTCTTCAGATTACCACTCTAGAGTCTCAACCATTAACTTGAACCCCATACTTAATTTTTAATGATTGAATGCCACAAAGACCAACTTCAGAACTATCTACCAAGCAAAACAAAATCACCAATTGCTAGTCCCCCTTTCACTTTTGGGTGCAAAGCACCTCCTAGTTGATCAAATGATCCATTTTCCCTTTGTCAAATCCCTCCCACAAAAATCCGTACTCATCTTTTCAATCTTATTTGCTACCCTCACCAACACTTGAAAAATAGGCAAATAATATATGAAAATACTCGACAACACTGATTGAACCAAAGTAAATCCCCCTTCCTTAGAAATCAATGCCCTCTTCCACCTCTTTAACCTCTTCCCCATTTTCGAAATAACCAAGTCTCAAAAATCTACACTCCTAGGATTACTCCCAGTGGCAACCCCAAATAAAGCATAGCCAACCTCTGCAATCTCTTAAGTGAAATGTTCAGCAAATAATTTTTGTTCATGTTCACTTTAAGCCCATAAATTAACTCAAATACTCTAAACATTGAAGGCACTTCACCCAATCTATTCTAATCCCCAAACAAGAAGAATATGGTAAATAGTAAGTGAGATTCACAAACACTATCTCTACCAGCCATAAAACCATCAATTAACCCATTTGTAGCCCTCACAAACATCCTACTCAAAAAATCAACCACTAAAGTGAAAAGAAAGGGGACAAAGGGTCACCATATCTAAGACCTCTAGAAGCTTTGAAAGACTTGCCATAAAATACAAGAAGACAAACACCCAGTAATCAATTTCCTTCATCTTTCTCCAAAACCCTTCTTATTCTATTCATAACAAAATCTAAAACTACCCCGATCCACATGATCATATCTTTGAAAGATTGAATGGTTGGGTATTATTTATATCTTTGCATGTATATATGTGCATATATATGGGAGGATCTTTTTTTCTTCTAGTTTTGTTTGGGTTCTTTTGTTTCTTAATATACATCCTGCACCACTCTCGCATATCTCATTATTCAATGAACATATCATCTCACTAACTTATTTATCATAGGACTCATCTTACACGAGGACAAATAATTTATCTGAAAAAAGATTAAATGCAAGACAGAGACCACAAATTAGAAAAACCAAAACCCAAGAAGCTCATGTCTCTCCATAAACCATTCACACCATAGCTCTTTGCAGATACATGTAAATGGCATCCTTCCAAATTTCCAATCTAATATCATCTTTTATTTCTGTTTGAGAGTCCATCGAAAACCAGACAAATCATGCAGTAGAATAGAAGCCCGTCGAAAAGTGACAAGGAGGTTGTTGACATGAGAATTCAAAATATCTGACACTAAGAAGCACGAAGCACCCTACATATTTAATTCAAACTCCGATAGGAAAACCACTAACTAAAGAAATAGATGATGAAAGAGTTAAAGCATGATCATAAAACCAGACAAATCCCACATCCTGGCCAGAAATCACAGGCATACAGACCACTGAAGAAACTTATTGAACCAAAATATGCTTATGAATCTAATGAGAACTCTATGCTAATACTACTAGCATCTTGCAATGTTTTAAGGAATTTACATAGGATGTAAATCATGTTCTAACTTGATGAATTAAAAAAATGTAACATTTGACCTGGCAATTCAGATCTAGCTGAAGGCTATTTAGGCAAACCAAAAAGAGATCAAACCATCCTAATTTGACCTAATCAGAAGATTAAAAAATACACCTCACTATATAACTCCTCTAATCACACCACATGTCTTGTATATAGGAATCAATAACGTGTGTGTGTGTGTGCATATGCATGTACGCACCGTCGGCATCGCGAGGAGGTCCAGAGCCACCGGAGATCTTCCCCTGCGCTACGGAAGGCGGAAATGTCTGGAGATTAGAATCTGCAACAAACAAACAACAACAACAACAACAACAACAATACTTGATTGATTGAGAGAAGAAAAAATAAAAACAGGAAAATTGTTATGGAAAAACAGGTTGGAGAGCAGGAATCAAGCACCTGAGAATTTGACGGCGACTTGACCTGGTGAATCTGAGACTGCCTGCGAGATCAAATACAGATCTGGAGGATTAAGCGAAGAAAATTACTAAGAAGTGAGGAGAGAGATTGAAGAAGGGATTGTGGGAAATTACAGGTACAGATCCGGAGACTTTCTGCTTATCGATCGGGGTGTAGTTGCCAGACATCATCTTGTGCAGATCTCAGTTGACTTTGCAGCTGAAGATGATGATGATGATGATAATGATGATCAAGATTCAAGAAGAAGAAGAAACACCTCCACCACCAGCACTCAGTTTCGTTCGTCGCCTTCAGTTTTACAGAGATCTAGCCTTGGTTTTTGTCTTCTCTACTCTACAGCGTCAATTCCATTTTTATTTTTATAGTAATTTTAGCTGTTTTGATTTGATTATTACATCACAATTTCTATTGTTTTCAACACCAGAATATTCCCCAACCAAAAACAGATAATATATTTTAATTTATTGTAGGTAACTGATAATGACAAAAAAAAAAAAAAAAATTGCGGTGGGACAAAGGTTGTTCTGCGAAATTTGTTAAAATTTAATTTTTTTTATTTTTTTTATTTTTTTTTAAATTGTTAAAAAAAAACAAAAAAAAGTATGTCATTTAAGATAAATTAAAGTTAAAAATGGGACTTTTTACTATCCTCTCAAAAGAGGCCAAAATAAAAGTTAAAGAGTACACCTCCGTTTGGTTTAAAAGAATTTTAAATTGTATTTTAAAAGATAAGTTTTTGAAAATTAAAATTGTTTTTGATTATGAGTTTTAAAAATAATTTTGGGATAATTTGTATTTTTTAAAATAAGTAAATAGATGTGTGTGAGAGAAAATTTGATTAATTAATATAGTCTTCGTTTGGCATTGGTTTTTTTAGCTGATTTTTTTGTGTTGAAACTTTTTTAGCCTTGTTTGGTTTGGCTTTTTTGACTTTTGTGAGAGAAAAAGTGTAATGATTATAGTCTGAATGTAATATTTTATCTTATTAACTTATGTAACTAATTTTGTCTTTTGTTCTTTTTTTAGCCAAAAATCTAAAACTAAACGAAGTTATAGAATGTGAGAGAATGGGAGAAGAGATAAGAGAAAGAAAAAGTGATTGATTAATTAATTTATTAATAAAAAATAAAAGGAGAGGAGAGAAAAGAAAATAATTTTAAAAGAGCTTTAAAAATTGGTAAATCAAACATTTTTTTTAATTTTTTTGATCCAAATGTTAATTTAAAAATTAAACCAAATGGTATCTACAGTTTTTTTGTTTTTTAATAATTAATTTATTTAAATTATTTCTATTTTATATATTGTAAGTAAATATTATACAAATTTTTAAAATTAAGAATATATATATATATATAATTCTAATAGCCTCTAAAGACGTCAATATTTAGTGCTAAATTAAAAAAAATTATGTTTTTTTTTTGGTATGTATGTATGTATGTATGTTTGCTTTGCTCTTAAGTTTGTATATTTTTGACATTTCAATTATGTCAAAACAAATCAACATCATATTATTTAGACTATTTTATATATTGGTAAATTACATTGACTATCTCTGTGATTTAGTAAGCATACCGTAAGTTTCATAATTTTAACATAATTATACTAACATCTCTTTTAATAATACTAAATTGATCATAACTATTATAAATAGTATGAAAATACAAAAATATATAATATGAAATATACATTGTTGTTTAAACAAGATGAAAGTAAATTATATTTATATTTCATTAATAATTTGATGATACTTTTGTTGATAGTTTTATGTGTTTCTAAGAGTGAATCTTCCCATTTATTAAGGGTATATTTGGTAACGTTTATATTTATTGGTTTCCAATTTATATTGAAAACTGTAAACAAAAATCATTTGATTTCTATTTTTGTTTTAAAAAAATTGTAAACACAAAAAAGTTTATTTCAATTGCTATTTAAAATTTTTTTTTCATTTCTTTTTTGTTTTTGTTGGAAAAATATTTTTGACATTTAAATTATGTCAAAACAAATCAACATCATATTATTTAGACTATTTTATATATCGGTAAATTACATTGACTATCTCTGTGATTTAGAAAACATACCGTAAGTTTCATAATTTTAACATAATTATACTAACATCTTTTTAATAATACTAAATTGATCAAAACTATTATAAATAGTATGAAAATACAAAAATATATTATATGAAATATACATTGTTGTTTAAACAAGATGAAAGTAAATTATATTTATATTTCATTAATAATTTGATGATACTTTTGTTGATAGTTTTATATGTTTCTAAGAGTGAATCTTCCCGTTTATTAAGGGTATATTTGGTAACATTTATATTTATTGGTTTCCAATTTATATTGAAAACTGTAAACAAAAATTATTTGATTTCCATTTTTGTTTTAAAAAAATTGTAAACACAAAAAAGTTGATTTCAATTTCTATTTAAAATTTTTTTTTCATTTCTTTTTCTTCATTTCTTTTTTATTTTTGTTCTTTTCTTTGCTCTAACTTTTGCCTGGGTCGCCCTTCTGGGTTTTCGGCACCTTAAATTTATTTATTAAATATTTTTTTATGTATAATATTTATATTATTTAATTTATTTAATATAATAAAACTAAAATATTATAGTTAATATTCATTTTCACTCATTTATTTATCATATTACATCTTTTAACTTTCACTAATGATAAATTATTATCTATAATATACTTTATTATCTTTAATTTTTATTAATTTTTTATTTTTAAAACTACAAAACTAACACATTCCCAACCCCGATATGATATGGGTTGGAGGACGACAAATCCGCTCCAAACCTGCCTCGTTGTCGTTCCTTCTCATTGTTATCGCCTACCATTACCAACAAAGACTGCATCCGCCAACCACCTTCCGCCACTATATTCTTCAATTGCTAATCACCTTCCATCGCCACCAACCATATCTTATTAGCAGTAATCATCTTTGACCACCACTTTTTATTGAAAATCACTTTCAACTATCATTTGTAACTATTGATCGGCCATCATTTTCGACCATTAACAATCAGTAAATGTTTTTCGACCATTAACATTCTACTGTTGAATTATTAGTGGTCACCAGTGCGATACATGGGATTTTAGAAAGTCAATAATCACTAAAAAAAAAATTTGTTATTTGATTGTATTTCTTAATATTTTTATTTAGTTTGTGAATATAAATCTTATTTCACATCATTAAAAATAAATAATATTTCACATTATTGAAATTTTTAAAAAAACTATCATAAATTAAGTAAATCATCACATAAATAATAGCTAATTTATCTAAGAATTATTTCAGACAACCAAAAGTAGAGTAACAAAGGCATATTATAATTAATCAAAATGACTAATATTAAATAAAAGTAACACTAATTTTAATTAATCAATAGTAGATATTACACTAATCATCCCACATAATATAATGAATTAAAATAAAATTAATTTTAATTCCCATTATATTCAGTTAGTAGTTAAAAAAAAAATTTACATGCTATTTGTTTTTTAGTTAGATTGATTCATTAAACATAAATAGGTTTGGAATGATTAAAAAAAAAAGTTTGAAAATGCATTAAAGTTGAATTGACAAATATAAAGAATATAAATATTTAAATTATTCAAAAAAAATTAACATTTTTTATATGAGATCTCTTCCATTTGCTCAAACTTTGAATTTGAATATAAAAAAAAAAATTAAAAAGAAGAAATTTATGGTTTAGTTCAAAAAATTAGTTCCTGAAAATAAATTTAATCATGAGTTATTTCAACAGGATAATCAACAATAAAAATCAACTGACGAATATATTTAAAGTATAAATCCATATCTAATAAATTTTGATGTGTTCTTCATTTTCAATCTAACATCCCAAAAAAATTAAACGTAAATATAAGTGAGAGAGTTACAAATTGATAATAGTAGCACTTTAACAAAATAAATAAATAAAATCTCAATTAAATGATACATTATTAGCAAAAAGAAAGAAATAAAGAAAAAAAACAGATTGTAACAAAAAAAATTAAAAATAATAATATCTATTTATATAAACTCACTTTCTCACAAATGCAAAAAGTCATGCAAGTACATATTTAAAATGTAAAGCAAATATTTAAGATTTTTAAGCACCGAAAATGGATTAGAAATGGCTCGATGTTGATTGTTTTTCCCCAAAATCTTCTGTTCATGATTCCGACTTGTTTTCAACAGATATATATGAAATTCTATCATATTTCAAATTTATATGGATAATTAATTGATTATTTTAAAAGATAAAATATTAAGTTCAACTTGAAGATAAATTTTAAAAAGATTCAACTAAAATATATGAGAATTCTATAACAAACTAACAAATAATAAATATAGACCGTTAAAAAAATTATCATCTTTTTGGGATATTTATATCCCAATCTCAATCTTTTTTATTTAAATATTTTGTCATCTTTTATTTTAATTTTCATTTTACAATTCAAATCTAAAAGTTATATTTCTTTTTTTGTATAATTTTTCATCTCTATTTTTTTTGTTATTCATATATAAATAGTTATCTTTGTATTTAAAAATTATCTGACTCGTAATCTTTTTTATTTAAATATTAATCTTTTATTTGAATTTTTATCAATTCAAAATATGGAATTTTATCAAATTTAAACTTTATATGGATAATTAATTGATGATTTTAAAAGGTAAAATAATAAGTTCAACTTGAAGATAAAATTTAAAAAGATTAAACTGAAATATATCGGAATTCTACAACAAACTCACAGAAGGTAAACTAGTGATAACCCGTGCTATGCACTAGCAAGTAACAAAAGATGGTAAACAATACTAAACATGTTAAATATTAATAACAAAATTCTATGATATTAATTTAACAATAGTGATTTAGACCCCCTCAAACTTCAACCCCCACCACCCCACACACATATGACGGGTGGTGATTGGAGGAGAAGAAAAAAAAGAAAAAAAAAAAGAAAAAGTGATCAATCAAAAAAGAAAGGGGGTGGAAGAAAAGGGGATCCCAATCTTTATTCTTAATCTAGATAGGTACTTAAATAATGGATTTGATTGATCTCAACTAAAAAAAAAAAAGATCAGAGTGAGATTCTATAAATATAAGATAAAAATAAAAATAAATTAAGTAAGAATTTGAAGATAAACTATAAGAATATAGAAAGTGAAAATTAGATAAATCCTAAAAAAAGAATAAACTTAATTGAAAATCAAGAGTAAGAGTAGATCATGTAAATATAAGATAAATATTTTTAAAAAAAATCAAGTGTAAATGTGAAGATAAATTATAAGAATATAGAAAGAGAAATTTTGATAAATCTGAGAAAAATGAGATAGAGAGAAATTTAGTAAATA